TTCTTTCCCTCCAGGATGACCGATATATCCACTCAGTCATCTAAACTGCAGCTACTTTCAATATTATGAAAAATTATCTGCTATCAGTAAGAAAGCAGATTCAGGACATTAGAACATGCTCTAGGTAGGAATACCTCTGGCAAATTGGTCCACTCATAGCAACACATACCGAGAGAGGAAGGACCCAGAAATGTGTAAGATTTGTGCACTAAAGCAGAATAGGGGATGGGGAAATAACTCAAAACAGGCTTTCGCTTCAAAAAGCAGCCAGATGGGCAAAATGTAACATCCAAAGGCAAAATGAAAGTAACTGCATCACCATTTCCAATTAGAGCTATTTTCCAGTGTATTAATTCTGTCTTCAGGTGGGTCAAATCAACTTCAATCTGTCCACCAAGTTTTTAACAGCTAAAAGGTATTTCCAAATGTTCTATTTGCTTGTATTTGTTTTCTTTTGTTTTAATGTTTTCTTGGTCTTTTTCATGGTGTCTGCTTCTTCCTCATGGTTTTGACCCCAGTTATATCCTTCCTATTTTAAGCACACTTATTTTACCTTTACCATTCAGCTCTTTTATCTGAAGTTTTTCATCATCTATGCTGCTTATTGTGTGTGCTAACTCTCAGTGATGCCATATGCTTTTCTTCGTGCTTTGTAATTTCGTATTGTGAATTCTTCAAAGCTCCATTGGTGGGAATCTTGTACTACCTGGATTGAGGGAGTTCCTCCAGGGAAATTCTACATTTACTCACCAAATGCCCAGGGCTTTCACAAGCTCACGACGCTTTTATGTTAATTTATTGGCTTAAAGTATCCAGAACCATACAGACAGAAATGTCTTAATCCCAACTCTGGCTAAAGACAGGGATATAGTTATGAATTTTTAAGAAAGACTTTTTTTCTATCTAAAATCTTAACAAAGACATACAAGTATCCTTCAGACACTATTCTGTTCCAGTGAGTAGACAGTTTTTCTAGGATGAATCTTCAAAGGTCTCAGCTTTCTATGGGAGTCTCAAATGCATTCTTTAAAGTCATGGCACCCCAAGGCATTATCTCCTGTTCTTGAGCAGGTACCAAGATCTGAACTTTCAAGTGCCTGAGCCCAGGGTTCCATCACCCGCTCCCAATCCCACTCCTCCTTCTGTCAAAGCACCATGCACTATGTTTTGGCTCTGGCTTGCAGTTTGTACTTCATTTTTAGCCCATTGGGAATTTCCTTAAATGCCTTCTAGCTCAGCTACACATTTTAAAGTCATATTTTTTATATTTTTATCTAGCTTGTGTGAGTGTTTTATAGCAAGAAGATTTCTGGGTAATCTAGTTTGCCATACTGCCAGAAATAGCAGTAGCAAATGTTAGCATGTTGCCATAAATATTAGTAGAATATGTTAAACCGAAGCATCTCAAACCTGAAGACAGCCCACTACAGTTTTTCAGGGATTGATAAAGTCATGCAACACTAAATATAGAATTTTACAAAGTGTCATAAAATGTGGTGATAAATATTTAGAAGCTTCTTTTGCACAAAGGTAAAAAGCACAGTCACATCCACTGGGGAAGTGCTTGTTCTGCCACAGTTAAAATGGCTGAAATAATTCCCCCCCAGAAAGCATGTGGTGAAACCTAAAAATGTATCTTTGTCAGCAAATATTGTTGGATGATATATGGAAAGCATTATAGAAGAATGCAGAAACAAATATTGGAACAAGTTAGAGTGTTGAAGGTTTGCTATATATCTGAATGAAGCACTGATGTTTCTTACACATTTCAGCTTACGGTCTTGTCTAGATTCTGTTTCCAATGACAAAATACATTTAAAAAGAAGATTTTGGGGGAGCCACTAAAAAAGGAAACAAATAATGTTTCCCTCAATAATAAATAACTTCTGGCCCTGGCTGGTGTAGCTCAGTGGATTGAGCACAGGTCTGTGAACCAAAGGGTCACTGGTTCGATTCCTAGTCAGGGCACATGCCTGGGTTGTGGGCCAGGTCCCCAGTTGGGGATGCACAAGAGGCAACCACACATTGATATTTCATTCCTTCTCTTTCTCCTTCCCTCCCACTCTCTCTAAAAAGAAATAAATAAAATCTTAAATAATAATAGATAACTTCTTTTAGAAAAAATTATGATCTATAGAAAATTGTGAGCAACTATTTGAATGAGAATTAAAAAACTCCCTAGCAAGGGTACAGGCAAGTCCACCCACATAAAAAGCATTCCTCCTGTTATTTACAGGCAAGCTACTGCAGCAAGATGGTAAAGCCAATGAAAGAGCAAAGTGCTACAGAATATCACAGGTGATGTTAGCTTTATAAAAATAACACACTTAATTAAAGGGACTTATCTAAGAAAAAGATGATCAAAAATATGAATGATGAAATGACAATAAACTCACAATTATCAAAAGCTAAACCTAAAAAAAGTCAAAAACAAGACAAACTAAGTAAACATCTAGAGCAGGAACAGAATCAGAGAAATGGACATCACATGGAGGGTTATCTGCAGGGGGTAAGGGAGAGAATGGGAGGAAAAGTATAGGGAACAAGAAGCATAAATGATAGGTACAAAATAGGGGGAGGTTAAGAATAGTATAGGAAATGGAGAAGCCAAAGAACTTACATGTACGACCCATGGACAGGAACTAAGTGAGGGGGGATGCTGGTGGGAGGTGGTTGCAGGGTGGAGGGGAATAAAGGGGGGATATGGGACAACTGTAACAGCATAATCAGTAAAATATAAATGAATGAATGAATGAATGATAAGTAGAAACAAGACATTTAAAATATAGGGAATGCCTCACACTCTTTGCAGAGGGTAACTTTTTAGATCAGGTTCCCTGGGAAGCAGATTCTAAGGACAGCTGCATATAGACATTTCATTGGAGAGTGCGCTCAGGCTCAACTATCTGGGAAGTGAGGTAAGCAGGATTAGGCAGAGGGGAAAATTGAACTGCGATACCACAATCAATCATTCCCATGAAAAGCTCTGGAGCTGGGTGGCCCTTCCATGTTGTCCCACCTTGCAGCAAACTGACCAGGCCTCCTTTATACCCAGCACTGACCAGTTATTGAGTGAGGGCTGCCCTGGGGTAGGAGGGAGGTGACCTTGGGTGAGGCATTTTTCTTCCACTGAGTGCAATACCTAGAGAATGACCTGTCGGCCACCAACAGAGTATGAAGGACTGTGAGCAGTGCACTGCAGCATCCACTAAAGCAATGACACAGAGCCATTGCAGGTGAGACCAGCAATGCCTTTAGAAGAGTTGGTAGACTCAAGGATGAGCTGTTTGTTTTTCTCACAAAATGAAATGAACTGATCCACTGGTGCTGCCCTGTGCTACAATGACAATTAGTGAACGTGAGAATGTGATACACCAAAAAAAACTTAATCTAAAAATAAATGTGCAAATGACTATTTCTTGAAAGACATTTATGATATGGAGAGAGCTTCTTGAAAACAGAAATTTGAAAGTGTTTCCATTACTATATGCTTTCGTTTCCAAAAATAATGTAGCCTAGAAAAACGTTAATAACTGCACGCTTAAGTAACCTAAGAAATTGTTTTAACTTGTTATAAGCTTTCAATAATTTCAATGGATGTTAAACCTATATGTTAAAGTTTTTTAAGTAATAAACCTTTAACAGATGAAAATTTCCTGGTTATTTTTAACAAAGATATTTACATAATTTTTTGATTATCTTTGAAAGATGAGTAGTACAATTTGGAAAGCATAGTCAAAGATATAGTTTTTCCACTTACATATATTGATTGGGCTTACATATTGTTGGAAGAACTTTTTTATCTATGACAGCCATTAAAACCAAGCATCTAAAACCTGAAAACACAGGTTTTAGAATTTCTACATAACAAAATGTTAAACCAAGTTTTTGAATTGGAATAAAGCATCTGATTACATAGTGTTCAGACCTTGGAATTACGTACTTATCCAGAGCCAGGATGATTCAGTGGCTCAAGGTGCCTAGGCCCCCCCACAGGTTCCAAGCTGAAATGGTCCTTCTCCTCTTTCTAGGACCCAGCTCCTAGACTATGGCTGGTTACCCTCATTTATCACTTAGCACAGTGGCCTCCAACTCTTTATCTTCATCAGTTAAAAAAATTGAGCAAGTACCTACATTTATGTGTTTAAAATTCCCACATGTTCTACTCTTCTGATAAATTATCTATATTATATACCATATACAAAATAGAAAATTTAAACATCACAAAATTCTTGCCCAAAATGCACATACTATGAGGAAACATCAGGCCACTCCAAATGAAAAGAGAACCTGCAATGTGACATTTACTCATCAAAAATGTCAAGGTTATAACAGACAAAGATTTAGAACTATTCCAAGTTGGAGTGACAACTAAATGCAATGGATCTTGGACCCATGAAAAAAATTTGCAGAACATTTACTTTGAGTGGAATAAATTCAAGTCTACTTTGAGTGGAATTTATGTGTTAAGTAGTAATGCTAGATAAATATCAATTTCATAATTTTGATTTTTGCATTGTAAATATACTCAAAATAATAAGAGGTTATAAGGCATCATATATACAACTTATTTGGAGCAGTTTAGGAAAAAACAAAACCCACAGTAATATGTATGCATGTATGTATGTATGTATGTATGTATGTATGTAGAGAGAGAGAGACAAAGATTTAAAAATGCAAAAACAGACAATGCTAACAACTGGAAAATCTATATACAGAACTTTCAATCTTTTCATTACTTTTGTAAGTTTTCTGTAAATCTGAAATTGTTTGAAAAGAAGTAATGTTAAAAATTTGATATAGTCACAACAACAAAAAGTCCTTTAAACAGATGAGACAAAAGAAAATACTAGTCTTAAAGTATTCCATTTAGTCATAATAATGTACTGATTATATTAAAATATGAGTAACATTTAACATGAGAATATTAAAGATTATAGATATTTATCTTGTCCTCTTCTTTATAAAGCTGCTCAGAGGAACACCTTCAGTGATCTCCTTATTTTTTTGAACACTGTACGAGTTTGGGTGACACCTTCACACAGGAGCCGTGCTAATCTTCTCTATCTCGCTCCAATTTTAGTGTATGAGCCACCGAAGACAGTAGTGATCTCACTAATATTTTTTTAAATTTCCAGATCGTAAAGCCAATCCCACTCTTAAAACGTGAGACTTAATAATTTAAAACTTTTTTACATTTAATATCTATGATATTATCTAAGATCTAAGATAATGTTTGTATCTTTCTCATGAAATAAAACAGAATTGATTTTCTGTAAGACACTCAAAATCTTGTTTTGAGTAATTGTTTTTCACATTGCTGGTTCTCTCTCTTCCCTATTAGTATCAAAATGGGGTGACTTTAGGGTATTCAATATTTAAAATATTTTGTAGAAGGAAGTGATAACAGTTTTAGGTGCAATTTTTTTTCTTCCTTAGACCTTCTCCTTTACCCCACCTTAATTCTGATCCCCAAAGAGTGATAAAATGATACATCAGAGTTATCATTTAGCAGCTCATTTTATATAATAATCCCCTGGGCCTCCTTTCAGCTCTTCTGACCTCCCAGACTGGCTGACTCACAAAAGGGAGAGACTTCCATCCAGAAATTTAGACGGGTCAGAGAATGGTGCACTAATTTAATAGAAGCATGAGAAGGATGAATACACAATTGCTTTAATTATGCCAACAGACCACAAAATGCATGCAAAGATTATCTTTTTACTTGAAATGTGTGTTACACCCATATGCAACTCAACTTATGAAGGCTTGTGTAATTCTGAAAAAAAGGTTCTTGGATAACATTGTAGCATGTCTCACCCCAGCAACTGCCTTCAAATACTGAGAGCCACTGAAAGTAGGTACCTACAAAAAAATGTCATAAATCTACTGGCTACACAATATGGCTGAGTACTGTGTTCTACAGGTAGAATTAACTGAAAAAGAAGCTACGTGCAAAAATGTCACTCTTCAGCAGTTTGTCCACAAAAGGGTAATGAACCATGGACATCACCCAGGAATCCTCACCCATGGATGCACAAGATCAAAGTTCCTTTGGGAATTCCCTCACAGATGTGGACCAACTACGAATCTCAAACACGCTTTAAAAAGCCACTTTGACAGACACTTCTCCAGAGAGGACATACAGAATATCTAGAGACACATGAAGAGATGCTCAGTATCGTTAGCTATCAGAGAGATGCAAATTAAAACCACAATGAGATACCACTTTACACCAGTCAGGATGGCTATCATAAACAAAGCAACAAACAACAAATGTTGGAGAGGTTGTGGGGAAAAGGGGTCCTTAGTTCACTGTTGGTGGGATTGCAGACTGGTACAACCATTACGGAAAACAGTATGGAATTTTCTCAGAAAAATAAAAATCGACCTGCCTTTTGACCCAGCAATTCCACTGCTAGGATTATATCCCAAGAATCCCAAAACATCAATACCAAAGAACCTATGCACCACAATGTTCATAACAGCACAATTTACAATAGCCAAGAGTTGGAAGCAACCTAGGTGCCCGGCAGTAAATGAATGGATCAAAAAATTGTGGTACATATACACAATGGAATTCTATGCTGCAGAGAGAAAGAAGGAGCTACTACCCTTTGCAGCAACATGGATGGAACTGGAAAGCATTATGCTGAGTGAAATAGGCCAGGCATTGAAAGACGAATACCATATGATCTCACCTTTAACAGGAAGCTAAACAACAAAACAAACAAGCAAACAGAATAAAAACAAAGACACTGAAATAGAGAACAAGTGGGCAGCGACCAGAGGGGAGAGGGAAGGGAATTTAAGGGGAAAAATGGGGAGGGATTTTGAGGAACAAGTATGAAAGACACAGGGATGAGGACTGGGGTGGGGGGGAGGAAATGGGAGGGAGGTGGGGAGACAGGGTTGGGGGGGGGGCTGGGATGGGAGAAATAGACAAAAAACTGTACTTGAAAAATAACTAAATAAAAATTTTTTAAAAGCCACTTTGGCTACAAATAGAAAAACTCCACAATTAATAAGACAAAGATTTTTCTCAATCGTTGAAAAAATCTGGTGACACAAAGAGACAAAGAAGTGGGTTACAATCTTAACGAAGAACCTGGCCAGAATGTCGTGATCTTACAAGTATCAAGACATCAGCTATCAGATATAACAGAACATAAAAAATTCAAACTTTTTATTCTAACAGCAAAGGGGTGGGAAAAGGAACAAACCCACAGAACGTTCCTTATGCTCATGAATGTTCTCCAGCCAAACACTAGTGGGGACTCACCTGCAGCGGAACACAGCTGGGTTTCTTGACTTGCTGCAACAGTAAAGAACACACGCGGTTGGAAACATGGGGCGTTTCAGTGAGAGGTATTAGAAGGGACTCGGTATAGGATTTGGGATTGTGTGAGGTGATTTAGAGGATGGTTCAAGAAAGCAGGGCTTTGCTCTGGACTGGATGTTATCAGGAAATGGGATAATTCTATGACTGAGTAGCTGAATAATTCTTATCTAAAAGGTGAGTATAGAGTGAGGCTAAAGCTGTCACTGGTCTTAGAAAAGCACCCGTCATTCATATCAGCCAGGATATGAGGGATGTTTGGTTATTTTTGTGGCTCGGTCATCATTGTCCGCATCTGGCTGCAGACACAGCTGTCTGCCTATAACGCAGAGTCATCACAGCTGGAACCAACTCAGGCACCGATGTTCCTACATACAGTGCAGGGTTATCCATTGGCGCCTTCACCAGATAAATGAGCAGGGCCGGGTTGATCTGCACCAAGTTCACATTCCCTTTTTGCCTCCTCTGAGACAGTTGTCATTTTGATTTCAGTTCTGAGAAAACTTCAGGTTTTGAAAACAAGCTGTCTGCTCCTTTTCCAAAAACCCCATGTGTTGACAAGTGTTTATTAAATCCAAGTCTCAAAGTCTGCACTGAAGTGCTGCTGTTGAGATACGCCACACCTGTTCCCTCATTCATATAATCTTGGGAGGAATGCACTTATATATTTACTTATGTAATGTACCTGATGCCATATTTTTCATAAATACTCCATCTATGGTAAGAGATTGGTTCCCCTAAGTTGTTTCAGAAAATTAGTGCAATGTATTAAAATCAAGTGTTAGGAAATTTCATGGTCTCACCTAAAACTTTTATTTGAGAATTAAACTATTACTAAATTGCATGTAACTCTGAACTACAATTTAATTATACTCAGTGCTTCTTAAGCCTTCATAAAGCAATTTTTCCATCCTTAAAAAAAAGTGCAAAGATGGCGTTGGTGAAAGCAGGGTTATGAATTCTGACTTTACACTGACAAAAACAGTAACACTCGCCTTTCAGCACCCACATTGACTCCAATCCCAGCTTGCTGCATTGTCTCCCCACTCTCCTGTGAGCTGGTGCCCCTGGAGCTCCAGCCATCCACCATCCCTGGGGGCAAGGCCTCCCCACACCTCGCCCTCCCCCCCCCCGGGGTCATTGCAGACACTACCTGCTTAGGCCGCTTTGGTGTCAAATCCTGAGGTTCTCTGATGATCTTGCTTCCCCATGGCTACAGATATGGAGGTGCCGGTTCAATACAGAGTGGGGACACAGCAAGAGGCTGAAGTACTACATACACAGAAGCTGGAATCTCCAGGGACAACCAGATAATTTCGGCTGCAGAGGAGGGCACGCCCATGTCATCAGCAGAGACCAGTCAAAGGCCTTCTCCCTTCAGATGATCACATCATATTTAGGCTCACAACATTCATCCCAGTTCGAGAGTACCTCAACGCTCACTTCATCTGCAAGTGTACCTTCTGCTGCTTTTCCTTCCCCTGCACCGGGCCGGGTCAGTCACAGTCATCCAGGCCCGGGGGCAGCACTGCCATACCAACCAGGTGCAGGCCTGCTGGCGCCAGCTTTTCACCCTTCGCCTGACCCAGTGTATCCAGGTCGTGGTTCTCTCCACTATCCTGATGGCCATCGTCAACCACGTACAGAACAGCCTCCAGGAAGATAAACTTTCTGGCAACTGGATAAAATAAGTCATGGAGCACATCTGGAAGCTGCAGGAGTTCTGTAACAGCAGGCCAAGCTGTACACAGACAGCTAAGAATATGCATACCCTAAAGCTATAGTTCTCTTTAGACCAATCATCCAGGTTTGACCAGTACAAACCAGATTTTAAATATTGGATTTAGATCTTTCTATTTCAGAAAACCTACTCGGAAGACCTCTTATCCACCTGCTGGCACTCAGGCTACTGAGCTCCGACACAACAGAAGAGCTTTTTTTTTTTTTTTTCACTGATCTCATTGGCAGTGTTTCAATGGGCAGCATAATCCCCTCCACCTTGAAGATGGAGAAGGGAGGTGTAACGACTATGTTCCCAGGTGGAGACAGGAAAGTAGATCAGTCTCCAAGAGGGGGGTTAGAACCTAAGTGGTCAAGAGGGTGAGTGGCCAAAGACTGGGTGTCCTCCAATTGATCACCTATTGCAGTGATTCTGACACTTAACTGTATGTTAGAGTCACCTGGGAGCCTTTAACAATCACTAGTGTCTAGGCTTCACTCCATCTATCTACTCATCAAATCAAGATACCTAGGGGTGGTACTAAACAGAAATGTCTAAAGTCCCCAGGTGATTCCAATGCGCACCTAGTTTGAGAACCACTGTCTTAGACGAGCAACCTTGGCAACACTTGGAAGCAGAATCTCAGGCTCGTTCTCAAATCTCCTGAGTCAGAATCTGCAGTTCAACAAGACCCCCAGGTGATTTCTATGCACATAAAGGTCTGCTAAATATCAGAGTCACCTGGAGAACTAATAAAGTGGTAAAGTCAAGGTTCAATGAGGTAAGCCAAGACCTATGCCTGTGTCTTTATCAAGTTTCCCAGTTGAAAAAGTTTTAATATCTGACCATCCATCCCACTGTTTCTCCAGTAAAGCAAAACTTACCTTCCCTCCGTGCACATGTCCACCCTCCCAATCTGACAGTTCGCCAACCACTGTTAATAGGAATAATTCACAATTTAATGTTCCGCACCTGGGGCAATTTAATAGTGTGATCTACATCTAGAGTTGACCATGTTATTTTTATAACTCCATACTAAATTGTG